GCGTTGTGGTGTCGCCTTTGGGTGTGATAATAGGTCGATGGAAAAGCTGTATTTTCGCAGTGCAGTTTCGATCAGAGTCAGATAGAGTTGTTATGTAGGATAGGTCCACTCTTTTGTCGGCGAGCGCTGATAGGATTGCATTCGTTTCGACACCGTCAAATGTTTTTTCATTTTCGACAAAAGTCATGAATAGGGGCAGGTTATATTCCCCACAGCTTTCATTGATCCTGGACGTAGCTTGAGGTTTGTTAGTTTAGTTTGAGTGTGGTCCATGCAGCAAAATCCTTGTCGAAATCCTGCTTGCTCCACTGCTTGTGTCTCATCCTATGTTATTGATTTGTGTGAAACATATCGAGACACATTAGTCTTCGTGAATGGCTTATGGAGTGCACTCAACAAGCATATCGGAAGATAGTTACGAAGATCCTTTCGGTCACCTTTCTTAGGCATGATGGCCGTGTGCGACGTCCTCCACTGGCCTGGAATTTTTTTCTTTTGAAGGTAGGTTTTCATACGGTTTGCTTCGAGGAAGGAGAAGTTTGTTAGAAATACATCTAAATTGTGGCTTCCAGCTCTAGAGAAGTCGGCAGTGATATCACCGTTCCTGGAGCTGTGTTCTTTTCATGCTTTCTATCGCAGGTCGGAACTCCGACGGAAGAATTCCAGATGCCTTTCCTCCAGTTGAGTTCTAGTGTGTGAAACGGAAACTGGTGAAATGAAAAGGATTGTGTAAAACTTTCCGTTATTGGCGCCGTATCATGGGTAGAAATTCTGGTGATCCCATCTTCGTCCATCAGGAATTATGGCGGAATATTATAATCGGTCTTTTTTTTCGCTTTTTCGCAGCGGTCGCAAGGGAATTTTTTCAGACTGATTATTTTTTGCACTAATTTTAACACCTTCTTTTGCCTATACCAATGTAGACCCTACTGCAAAACTCTTCTGCAGCTGGAATTTATTATTAACCTTGTTAAGCTTGTGGTAGTAGGATCTAGCCCCAGTTTCCTTCTATTCTGGAGCAACTTTTTAGTGGTAATAAAGGTGCGATTTACATTTTTCTTGGAGAAACTGAGGCAAATTTGCCACGATTCCTAAGTCTTTCAACAAGCAGCTGTTAGTCCTCAGGTATTCCTCCTTTTGTCGTTTACGATTGATTTTGTTTAGAATGTTCTCGTCATATGCAGACTTCTTCTTCGTACTCGATGACATGAATTATCTTCCAGCTTACGGCTGAATCGAATCTTCGCGCCAAGTAGGGATGTTCGGGACCAGTACAGAAAAAGGGTCTACCCATTTTCCAAATAGCGATCATTTTCAGTTTGGCAGAATATGGTCGATATCGGCGTGAGTCGTGCCGCTAGGAGACTTCCATATCCAACGGCAGCATTCTTTCTTTTAGTAAAAAAAGTTTCCATAGAAGAGACGTGCTGCAGACAAGAGTACTGCAAGGCAGTTTCTATTCTCAATTCTTTTTCCTAATTCAAAATTTCCTATGCTGTATTTGCCTTCGTTGGTCTTTTTTATTCTGGCTTGGAATCCTCGATTAAAAATTTAAAATAAGCTTTATTATTGAGGATAACTTCCTCCAAAAGAACACTTCTGATTCGTACTTATCAGCTGGATCAGTGATGACTAACCAATGACGATAGTGACCTTTTTATGGTGCATTAATTAAAAACGGAGGACAGCCATGCGATCAGTGAGGATCTCGTTGGAGTCGGTGAGATGAACAATGGGCGTGAGTACGACAAAGCCAATGCCGCCGACATTTCGTGACGGGACCTTTTCTCTGAAGTTGATAAAGATCCCGTTGTTTAGTTGGTGTATGTCGGCCTTCCTGCCATTTTATATCGCTACCACATTAAATTTGATACGATTTGCTGCTTCAAGAGGGGCGTGGAGATCGATGTGAGAGAAGCGTGTTTTGGGAGTGCTGAGTATGAAATAATCTCCATGACGTGTTGTGTCTGTGTTCGTTAGATGCGGTTCTAGTGTTGTTTGGCGTCCTATATATATTGTTTTCTTTTGTTTTTGTGTGATCCTGTATTTTTTTTGTATGTTTGTATTCACGCCTGTTGTGCAGATTTCAGAACTGCTCACATTCCATTCGTTTCTTCGCATTCATTTTTAACGAAGACCTTCTAACCTTACGTGTGGCTTCGGTTGCTGCTTGAGGAGTTTTATTTAATCTTGAATGTCGTGGAATGCTGTCGATCAATTTTGCCTCGAGTCCTGGGATAGCCAAGTTGGAGCGTTCCCAGTCGAATTACAGAGAATGATTTTTCCACAGAAAAGTCCGGTACCAATTTGCCGACCCTGAAGGGTGAGAAGCTTGGTTGAGAGCAGAATCGAACTATCCCCATGCCCATGATGACGGATATCAGTACTACTGTGCTATGAGCCTCCTATCTTATCTCTTATCTTACTTATCATATATATATGTGATAAGAAATATTACAACGAAGTTAAATCGATCGGATAATGATTATTTTATTAAAATATTAAATATATTTTACAAAATAAGTGAAAATTTACGTGTAAACTGGCTACTTTTAATTCGAATTTACGGAAAGAGTAAATATACAAAAAAAGGAAACAGATGGAAATAGCGGCCATTTTTCCATTTTTAGTTTTTGAAAATTGCGACATTTGGATATTTGGCTTCGATGGCTGCGACGAAGTCATTCGTTGTAACTCGTCTGCGATTTTCAGCTCACTCGAATAGATCGCCCTGCTCCTCTGTTGCTGTGTATCCATGATGTTCTACTTTCTTATTCTATCTTCAGGTAATAAGTTGCGAATAGTCACTGTTTCCTCGTTTAAATGCGAATCACTTTCGTGAAAGTTGATGGATGTAATTTTAGAAAAACAGATCAGCACTAGTGAAATTCTGTTAATCAAAATAGGAAAAACCACTGACATCCACATATCTTTACCAAATTGGTGCCAAGGTATTTATTCAGTCAGTACAGAATTCCGAAATTCTGGAAATAAGGTCTCGACAACATATTTAGCAGCGGTTTCGATGTGAGAGATTTACTCAGTTGTCATTTCTCGACGGAATGGTATGAACAGTGGTGGTGTCGTTCGAGCCCACAGTCCGGGCTCACATGATCCTTCATTCCACCAAACCTGAGGAGTAGGTACGAGACTTGTTTGCGTACAACTCACTGTCTCAGATCCACGCAGGAACGCTCTAAAAGAGTTCTCCTAGAAATTGACCGGACTTCAACGAATTCATAAAGAGTACAGCTATCCTAAAACAACAGAAAACCCACACACGAAAAGTCCGACGATCATCGTAGATGAATGCGATGAAACGAATGGAATGCAAAAAGTTCTGGGACCCCCACAATAGATATGAAGATAGGTCACGCAAAATAAATAAAAAAATCAGTTGTCGACATGCTTGAGCAGGTAATAATTAGTTAAGTGGAGTTCCAACAAGCATAGTGAGCTAGAATTTCGTAGCGCCGCTTGTTAAACTTCCGCAGCGCTGTCGTGCAGGAAGAAAATGCTTTTCCTTTTTTGTCTATTCTTGAAGAACTTGACAGTACTTTTCTGCTCTGACCACTTTACTAGATTATCTTTATTATCACAACGTTGCTGAGATATTTGCAAAACTCTAGACCGCAGGTGTCTATGGTGGGTGCCTAATATCTTTATTATTATTTATTTATATCCAGCGGAAAAAGTAAACACATGTATTAAGCATATTTAGTTTTGTAAAATATTTAGGAGCACCATTTTATTTAAACTTTTCTATTGGACATCGTATTTTGTTATATAGGATCAGTTCTTCATCGTTCACCACAGGTGAAGGATAAAGGATAAAACTTTCGGCGCTGATCAATCCGTGAGAGATGCGCCATGCATTCGACTTCATTAACCATCGTTTGGAGGTGATTAAATGCATATCTGGCCTTTACAATGACTCCCGGTAGCCTACCGATGCATTGAGCCAGTGCTGCTATCTTCCCAGACAAATGTGGTACCAATTTACCGACCCCGGAGTGACGGAACGCCCGGTCGGTCATGGGCCAGGGGGTCGATTACACGTGTGTTGCAAAACGCCTCCAACCGCTGCACTACACGCACCCTTTTCGCCGCAAAACGACCGAGAAATCAGTCTTTTTTGTTTCACCAACTAAGCTAGAAGTAAAGTTTTCAAAGATAGTGATTTTCAACGGTTTCGACTTCATTCATTCAATTTATTCGGTGCACATTAATTGAGCTTTTCAAACTTTCCCATGTCTTTATGTTCTTGTTGAGCAAACGCGAGGTGTTATTTTATTCTCTGTATTTCAAATCAGGGACGATTAATGAATTGTGAAGTCTTTCGATGAGTTTTCGTAGAGTTATTGTTCAGTTCTTTTACAGCACCTTTAGTGGTTCATAGACGAGCAGCACCACTTGTCGTCTTCAGATGGTCGTCATCACACTCAACCTCCTCCAACAAGGTTCATAACTCTAATACGGAACCAACTGCACACTTGCAGTTCTGTACCTTTTCCCTTACTCCATGCTTCGAAGATGTTTGCAATTACGTCCGCGGTGGCACCACAAATTCTGAGCTCACAAAGCGAAAAGTTACGGTTTTCAGGCACTAAAATAATAATTTCTACTGGTCTAAAATCATCGTATATTAAATGTAAAAAGTGCTATTGCAAACCGAATTATCGAACAAGAAACAGGCTGTGAAGCAATCCACTCGGTCGTCGAGCGCAAACTCTTTTTTTTCATTACTATTCCACAACTCCACATCAAACGTAACACACTGTGTGGGTCCGAGTACTTATTGCATTTGTTTCGTTTTCTCGCATAAACCACAAACAAAGGTTCTCGAATTTTGGCTTCTGCGGCTTCTGTTGCTGCTTGAGATTCTTTTCGCCATTTCAGTATTGCCGTCCTTGCAATACTGCTTTAGCCATGCAGGAGTGGTCTCGCGTTGAATGGAGAGAATTGGGAAAGTCTGGTACTAATTTACCGACCTCGGAAGAATGAGAGGCTTGACGGACACGGCGTGGGGTCGAATCATTAAACGGATGAGTTGGGCCGTTCACGTAATGAACGGTAACACTACCATTGCAGAGCCCCTACTCTCGTTTACACCATGCAGGTCGTTCGTTTCGCCTGTCACTCAACTAGTTTTATCGATCAGGCCATCAGCAGTCACCCTTTCTCCGGAAAGGGTAATAGCGACATTGTGAGTTCAACTACAGCCTCAGCTTAACTGGGTTCATTGCCGATTTCGGCTCCCCAGATCAATCCCGTTGACGGGTGATTGCTGATGGCTTGATCGACAGAACTGGCTGAGAAACAGGCGAAACGAAGGACCCACATGGTGTGGTGGTGAACGCGTTAGCCCCCGCAAAGGGCAATAGCGCATTCGTTCGCCACTGCAGACATTTGCGGGCCGGAGTTTTGCAAATATCTCAACATGGTTGAAGTTACATTTCGCAACATACTCTGCGGTTGGAAAGAGCAGGTAGTAAATAATAAGTGAAAACTGTGATCAAAAAAATCTTTAGAAAAAAAGCACGAAACTCGATTAGTAGTGCAACGTGGCCTCATTGATGAGAAATGGTTGGCCGAGAAAAAATTTATTACCACTTTCTGAATAACATTTATTTCATATAAAATAGTATTCTGAAAAACTTTCGATGGTATGTATGTTTTTGAAATCTACCCTTTACATTTTCTCCTTAGTAAACTTCGCATTAAGGTTTCCTGCTACTGAAAGCAAACGATTAGGCTATGATCCCATGATCTTTGAATCCATAGATTTTTCTCGCTAAGTCTTTTTTTCAGTTTATCAAACCACAGGAAGCAGTTTGGCGACAGAAGACGAGGACAATGATCTGTTCTTATCTCTGGATCGAGAAATTGAGGACGTGCTTGGAAAAGCGATTGACGAGCTGCCCGATGAACTCATGAACAGGACACTACGTAACAATCAAGGGAGCACAAATGAGCAGTTGCTGACAAAACTCGAATTTGGAGTTACCCCACATCAGACGAGTACTATTCCGAATGTGGTAAATACCTCACTCACACCTATTGAAGAGAATCATACTCTTTTGATTACTGATAATAAGGAAAATGTCAAGAATGAAACGGCGGGTCCCGTAATATTACCATCACTAGTTTTTCCGCACACTCCGAAACCAGATGTACTGCAGATTCCTGACGACATAATCGTTGAAGAAAGCGAATTGGTTAATAATGACACCAGCACATTTTCCTCTTCCGATGTTCCACATATGCAATACAACTTTCCCTCTCTATTGTATGGCGTCTCTTCAAAGACAGTTCATACCGCTCATTCGCTATTTGAGACTCCAACAACAACACTTTCTGCTACAACCTCCTTAGAAAGTGTTCAAAATCCTACGACTGCTTCATTCACTCTGGAAGTGAAGGACGCACAGCTTCGTCATTACAGAACTACGAACTGCAGCAGTGGCAGTGTCTGCTATAAAGACGAGGATTGCGGGAAGGTATCGTAATTTTCGGCTTTAAGCGTTTTCATATAGTCTTGCAAGAATCCCTATTTGCAAGTTCTTTTCACATTAGGTTAACGGGTTTATAATATGTTATTCTTTAAAGTTGAAATTACCACCACCTTGAAACTTCAGAAGATATCAGCAACTGCAGTAGACACTTTGTTAAGTCAAAATTTGGGCACTATTCTACTCTATCGAAGGTAATCACGGTTAGAACACTTTACTTCAATCAGAGACTGCTTCCATAGTAGAGGAACGATAACGATAAAAGACAGAGCTCTCGGTATTGACCAATTCCAGAGTGATACGCCAAGCATTCAGTTTCATCAAGCACCGTTGGAGGTGATTTAATGGATATCTGGTCTTTGCAATGATTCGTGGTAGTCTACCGATTTATCGAGCCAGCGCTGCTATCCTACCAGACAAATCTAGTACCGATTTGCCGACCGTGGAGCGAGAAAAGGCTTGGTGAAACCACTAGCGCGGGGATCGACCACATATGTGTATTGTAGGGCGCCTCCGACCACTGCGCCACACGTGCTCTAGAAAAACGATAGCAGTTCATAACTAGTTTTTTTAAACTAGTCTAGGATGTGATTTCTGTGCGGTTGGTCTCTACGTGACATACTTAGTGGAAACCTCATAGGAAGCGGCTCTGAGGAAGGCGAAATCCGCCGAAACGTCAGCTTAATCGCGAACAAAGAATAATAACACCTCGCGTTTGCTCAAAAAAAATACGAAGAAAATTACTAGTTTTTTTATTCCAAGCTCATCAGCAGTGAGCACAGAAACAGCGAATGTCGTACGAATTAATAAATTGTCCAATTATGGTTTTCATTTATGGCGGTCAAAAACACAAAGAGATGTCGTCTTCCCTCGGAAGCCAACTTCCACCTCATATTTCCATTATGATTCCAGGAAAGCAAACATGTTTCGCGAGCCTATCGCGAGAGAATTTCTGAAAAGATACCTGTTTGGTGGACAAAAAGCAGTGATAGCTTCACTACAGCCTAGACTACCGTGTAGACCACCAAAGTAATCGAGATACGCCTTGGTCTTCATTTAGCTTTCTTGATCTTCATCTACACAACTAGAAGTTCTCCGAATCTATGGTGTTTTGGAAACCAATGGATGAAGAAAGGTACATGCTATAATTCGAAAAATGGGAACAAATTGCAACGGAAACCGCATTTTGATTGCTATATGCAGCACCACTATTCTATGTAAATTTACCTTTTCGGAATTCAAAAATTGTTTCTGTTCAGTGGAAATAATAGTGCGTAGGCAAAGCAGTGGTAGCAATGCCGTTAGCAAGGCCCTGGTTCGGCTCTATACCGGGCCCACTAAGCTTCTGTAATCTTCGCAATCACGAAATTGCTTTAAGCCTCGTCTGAGTACGTTTCTACTTTTCCAATCTACGTAGAAACGATTTAGAATGGCTCCACGAGAACTCTGTGAAGAAATCATGACCAACGCGCAACAACCCAACCTCACAGACGAACAAGTTCGAACACCTTCACGGATAATGGGTGCAACAAATGGAATGGAATGGAAGTTGTGGGATCAGTATATGATGTCGGATGATCATATGAAAAAAAACTAGTATGCTAACACCGGTGATATCGTAGTGGTTATATAACCGTAGTGGTTAGAGGTGCTTTGCAATAGATGGTCGCTGGTTACATTACGCGCACAGAGCTCAACAAGCTTTACACCATCTGAGGTTGGGAAATTAGTATTGAACTTCTCCTTCAATGTTAGGAACACTGAACCGATGGAAGGCGACTGCAAGGGGGTGTGTAGGCCAGTTACCAGAAATTGATCAGCACTGAGAGATTGTCATTTTTCTGGTACATCCTGCAGTAACTGCCACGACCGACTTTCTATTAACCTCGGCATTGATCAAGTGATTTTGTTCGTATTTTTTTGAGCAAACGCGAGGTGTTATTGTTCTTTGTTCACGATTAAGCTGACGTTTCGGCGAATTTCGCCTTCTTCAGAGCCGCTTTCTATGAGGTCTCCACTAAGTATGTCACGTAGAGACCAACCGCACAGAAATCACGTGGACGTATAATGGAGTATGGAGTATGGAGTTTCATGGATAATGGAGTACGGAGTATGGAGTTTCATTATACTTCCACGTGATTTCTGTGCGGTTGGTCTCTACGTGACATATTTAGTGGAGACCTCATAGAAAGCGGCTCTGAAGAAGGCGAAATTCGCCGAAACGTCAGCTTAATCGTGAACAAAGAACAATAACACCTCGCGTTTGCTCAAAAAATACGAACAAAATCACTTGATCATTGTCATTTTTCTTCTTTTCGTAGGCACGGTCCTCTTTGTGATCAATCAATTTCTCAAAAGAGACGCTCTTGTTTAATTGGCACCTCAATACGGCTAGCGTTCTGTCGCTGTTTTATTCACCATCTTCTTCAAGGAGCATTTTCTAACACAAGTCGGGAAAAGTACATATTATTGGATAAGGGGAAATCAAGAGTCCGGGTGGAATCTTTCGAGCTACATCTTCTTCCAGCTCCTCACCATAAATTGCGCACTAAAAACGTTGAGTCTTTGACTAGTAGAGTTTCACTCCCCTAGGGAATGCGAAGGAGCATTCATAAGCTAATGACTGGACAGATCCCATGTTGCAAATTAGTCAGTGTTGCAGTAAGCTTCACGATGAAAGAAGAAAAAGAGATAGAAAACGTTCTAAAAAGAGTTACCTTTTTAAAATAAGAATTAAGTTTGAGAGAAGATAGAGGAATGGTCACTCCATGAGTAACCATTAAAGCAGTGAACAATGAGAAGGAACTTGTTCTTCAAGTGTTTCCAAATTATGGATGGAGTATATGAAGAACCTTGACCGAACGCAGTGAAATTGTTGAAGGAAGAGCTGCGTGGAGCAGAAGAACTATCTTCTAACCTTTTAGTAAATCGAGCTTCGATTCATCTTATTACGATTACAATGCGTCTCTACTTTATCTAATAGCACAATAAGCGCTCTTCTATACATGTATGCCTCCCAACGATTTACCGCCTCATCGTGGCTGGGAGGTGTTCCTGGATGTCGGACTGCGATGTACAGCGGGGTTTCATCCCCTGGCAGGGTCTCCCAAGCTGAGAAGGAGTCCGGCGTTTCCATCAAGAAACCTACCTAAGAGTAAACCAATATCAGGATCCACCACCGTTCTGGTATCAAAGTCGCATGGTGGTAAATCTCCCTCTGATCTACATGGGTTGCAACTGCTCGTAGTAGCGACGACCCGGGGCAGACTTTGGCAGGTTGTTTCCGGCATTCCAGGAAACCACAATAGCTTAACCAGAAAATCTCCGAAAAATGGTGTTCATGCTAGGGTGCGCACAGTTAGTGAAGACAGGCCGTTCAACTATCAAGTAAGTAAGTATACATGTATGACGCTGACTGGTACCTCCATCACATCGATAACCCCACCAAACAATCACGAAGAGCTTATGAAGCCGCATTTCATGGACTCCGAAGAACAGTGGTCCAAATATCAAACCGTGTTTGACAACCAATAATGCTGTTAATTTCCATGACATTCCAGCAACTGTTTTTCGCAGAATTCCTTAGAATTCAGTCAATGTTACTTTTCAGGGTGTTTGTCGTGGTGCGACCATTGGAACTTGTAACTGTCATGCCTGCATCACCAATTTGCCTTGTAACAATGACGACGTTTGTGGAGGACTTATTGCGTCATGCCAAAATGGCATGTGCAGGTGTGCTGAGGTGAATGCCGACGATTTTGTCTTCTGGAAGATTCAATGAACTCCGAACTCCTTATTTCCTCATAATTTTAGCGAAACTACAATATTTTTAATGTAAAATTACGTTTCTGTTCCAACGAATAGCTCCTTTCTCTTCAGCTGATAATCGATCAACAAAAAGTTCTTAAAAGACAGTATTCTTTCCGAAAAATGCAAAAGGCGGCTTGTGGCAGTTTATGAGTGTCTCTCAGTTCGGTAATAGTGTGGAGCGTATAGCACAGTGCACGAAGCTGACGCACCCACCCCTAGATTTACTTGTGGGAGGATAAAATACATTGACGTTGTATATCCACACGCATCTAGAACTCTTTGGATAGGCCTAATATGCATTCATTCACTTCCAGGGCGCTCGGTGAAGTTAAATGCTTGGCGCATCCCTCAAAGAGTGATTAACGCCAAACGACTTATTATTCACTACCTAACTGGGAATCAACACCTATATTAATGCCCGATGCAACTCGAATAACAACTTTTTCACTGTGCCATCCCTTAAATTTTCAAAGCAAGCTTACCAAAAGAGTTCAAAAATTGTTTTGTCCTCTATAACAACATGTGTAATCGGAAGCCAAATCTGATAAATTTCAACTCACCCAAATTTTTGCTTGGCCTCAAGCGTCGTGCTCATGGAAACTTAACAAGAAAACGGCTATTCTTAATTTTTTGCACTGTTTTTAACCTTATTTTGTCTTGAAAATCAAGCAATTCTCCCGCTTTAATGACCACTGTGGTCACAAAGCTCATAAGAACAGATCGTGTTATTGTGTCAACCACTTTATTAGGTTTCTAGTAGTTTGTAACTACGAATGAGATAAAAATGCTCAACGATCAGACATCAGATCGAATGGTATAAGAGACTTTTTTGAGGTTAAAAAAAAATAAGAAGAGAAATGAATCGTAAGAATGGAAGTGGTCACCTATTCTGGGGCAACGATTGCAGTGGGTAGCAAACCTAATCTTTTCTAAAAATTTCTAACATCACTATGACTAATATTACCAATGAAAACCAGTTTTTTTATCGCTGTAGATATTTAGTAGTCACTGCTTCGCGCTTTAACATATTCGGTCGACAGACATTAGCACATTTTGTCTAGGCACTCGCTCGACATGGATTTCCGCTGTTCATCGTTGCGTTGACGGAATTCTGCTCTCAACAGACGTGCACCGACAAAAACAGAAAATTCTGCTTTGGATCACCGTGTAGCCATGGCCTGTGTTTATGTGATTGAATAAGTCGGCACAAAAGCAATAAATAAACGATTAAAGAAAGAAACAAGCAAGAAACAAGCTATAATTCAATAAACCAAACGAAAAGAGGGAATATAACTTCAGTGATGCTGAGATATTTCCAAGACTCCGGACCGCAGGTGTTTGCGGTGAGGAACGAACGCACTATTGTCCTTCCCAGGAAATAACGAGCTCACCATCACACCATGCGGGTTCTTCGTTCTCCGGAGTTTTCCAAATAACTATCTATCAATCAACATCTATAGCAGTTGCTAGTGGAAATTAGGTCTTCAAGTCAGTTCTCGGCACCTTACGATCACTAGCTTTGAGTAGGATCTTCGACTTCGTAGAAGTTGCCACGCGGGACTTTTTCGTACTTTTCGCAGAAAAATATCTCAAACTTGGGTGACTAAACCGTTTATAACAATATTAATTTAAGAATAACGAAATATAAACATTGGTGCAATACAGACTGCAATATTGTGTCATGATCAATAAATGAGAGTAATGCGGGTTAGTATCTTTGTTATACGTACAGAGTTATATGACAGCAGTGTTAATACACAACAGTTACCACATACAACAAGAGAGAACACCTTGGATTGACTGCAAGGCGCATTACACATGATGAACAGGAGGGCGAATACGGTATTGACGCATGGGGCTCTTTATAAATATCTTCTGGAAGAGGCGGTGTTTTGGCACAGGTCCAGCACCTTTACCGAAAACACCCATCAGCTTGCGTCTCCAGCTCCCTCCTGATCAGATGACTGAGGACGATTTGCTGGACAGCTTCGTGCCTCTTTGTGTTACCGTACCCGTGTTGGTTTGGAGCAGATGCAACACACAAAAAGTTCCGATTGTATAAAAAGAGTGTGGTTGACAAAGAATGTTTACGACAACCAAAGTTCCTCTCAACGAAGTGAAAACGTTTGCATGCTGCAAGATCGCAAAGCGATGTGAGGGGCCACGAATATGGTTACCACAGACCTACGATATGATGAATGAATAGTAACTATTCTAGCAATAGTTGCTATAACATCATTGAAGTTATATTTCGCAATATACCCTGCCGATTGACCATCTGCTGGTGTATTCGCATCCTCCCAGAATAGGCGTGATTTTCCATCCGTGCTCAGCGTCGTTACACCTTACACCTTTACACCTCACCTTTACAACTTGCACCCTAATAACACTTTTAAAATCACTGCCTAAATGTTCATCGAAATCCTCAAACTGAACTGCTTCGAAAGAACACTTTCTGGCAAAAATTCATAATGGTACTCAATATTGTTTGCATCATTTAAAGTGCATCCAAGTATTCCAAGTACCAGACGTTTTGCCACCTACTGACTATTCAAATTTGGCAAATAATGTTTCCATGACGAATACTGCAACAGTTGACTGAGAACAAGAATATTTTCATCCGTAACCAAATTTAGTTTGATACAACGATCCAGATAAGATAAGGAAACATGGTCCCAATTTACTAAATCTTCTAGAATCTGGTGCGGTGAAGATGTACACGAATTAAGAGTTTGAAAACCCTGCCTCGAGTGCAGCAGGCATGAACATGCGTTTATGAGCAAGGCCCTTGCTTAGGCAAACGATTACAACTGGAATAAGATGTTGAATAAATTCGATGAAGTAAAAGGCTGGCAAAAAGTAAAACTTTCTACTGGCCATTTTGTTTTTATCAGAAATGGTGTCATTATTTTCCAATAATCATTCATTACCAGAATGCGTTGACAGTATTCTTATATATAAAATACTTTCTCGCTTTGTTTCCTCAATAGCAGGCGGAATGCCGATACCAGGATCCACCGCAGCCCTGGTATCAAAGTTGCATGGTGGCAAATCTCCCTCTGAACCACAAGAGCTGCGACCAACCGTGGTGGTGAAGAGCTGAGGCTGACTTTGGCCGGGTTGACCTCGGGACTCTAGGGAACCATATTGGCTTAACCAGCAAATCTCCGAAAAATGGAGATTATGCTGAGGCCCGCACAGCCAGTGAGGACGGGCCATTCAAGTATCAAGTATCAAGTATAGTAGGAGGCAATGCTTGGACATGAAAAGTTTTTGCTCCTTGCGGTATTTTATAGAAGTCGGAGAAAACATTCCACCGCTTCTGTAAAAAAAACCTTCTATACTTTAGGGTGTTTTAAATATTTCATTGGTCGGAGGAAGGAATTCCACGACAACTGCCCTGGCACTTTTTATACTTCACAGTATTTCAGAGAATCCGTTGATCGGAGAAAAATCCCACGGTTGCACGTCGAGAACTTTTCATACTTTACCGTACTTTATAGATTCCAGTGATAGGGAGAGAATGCTCCATTGCCACTATCGGAGAACTTTTGTACTTTGGAGTATTTCATAGAAGTTAGTGATTGGCGGGAAAATTCCACGGCTACTGAACGGATACTTTTTATACATCTGGGTGTTTCAAAGATTGTATTGACCGGAGGAAGAAATTCCCTGCCTACACTCCAGAATCCTTTTATTCTTTACCGTATTTTATAGATTCCAGTGATCGGAGGAAAAATTCCACGGCTACTGTACGGTAACTTTTTACGCTTTAGGGTATTTTACCACCGATCGCTCTCATTTAAGGGATCTGGAAGCCGATTAGTCGCGAGGCTACGTCACGCGTTCACAGGTGGCGGATAAGCGTTTAATCGAGGACCAAAACCGACGTTTGCTTCCCTGAGACGAAGGTGAATCGGAAGTGAAGTCTCCGTTTTAGCGGCCCCGATTTGGCACATACATTCTGTATTTATGAGGCTTATTTATGCATGCGTTTGTGCGTGAGTTTTAGCGGATTGTATTAAACGAGTCAATTCGGTCAAAAGCCTGCATTTAAATGACAGGAAAGTATACGGGAGACGGTTACGATCCCCTCCAACAAGTTGGCTCCATGGCCACTCTGGGAGAAACTGGCAAGCTACCGGTGAGTACACCAAGACCCCACGTTCAGAGCCCAGCAAGCTGTACGATCAAAAATGCTAAACACAGTAAAAAAAAACGGGCCTCATGCCCCTGACCCCGAAAAAGCCTCCAATTTCGCAGCGTTGGGTAGGACGAGTACGGAGGAGCTGCTAAAATTTCAGCGCCAATGGAAAGTGCCTGGATTTCAAAGAACAATGGTGACCATCTGTACCTAAAATGCACGTACACTTTCATCCGAGTCCTCGATAGAAGACTTGCTCATACAAGCAAGAAGGATAAGGTACGACGTCATCGACCCGGCCGAGACGAGACGACGCCACCCATTCAACGTCGTGTAAGACATCGGAGAAGCACTGTTCCTCCAAATATGCGACAGCGGAGGAGTCGGCGGCACTCTCATCAATACGAGTTTGTCCGTGAATATCAATTCATTCGAACAACGAACAACACGAATCGGACGTTTACGATTAAAAAGATGTGGATCAATTCCGGCTTTGATAATCTTCGTCGTTTACGCGCCGACATCAAACTATGACAAAAAAGAAGTCGAAGTGTTCTATACGGACTTGGAGAAGTTCTACAGAGAAGGCCATACATTCTTCCTTCAACGTCGTCATTGGAGATTTCAACTCCAAGGTTGGACAAAGAAGAATGTCTGAAGAACGTCACATTAGGGCCCATGGATTAGAATGGAACAACCAGAGTGAGCGGCTGTCTGAGTTTATCATGGCGACCAAGACTGTCCATGGCAACTCGCAATTCCAGAAGCACCACCCTCAACGATAGACGTGGAAGTCCTTCAGTGAGAACACCATAATAAAATAGACAACATCATATTAAACCGAAGGTTTTCACTAACCGATGTCGCTGTTGTACCAATATTCTGCATGGGATCAGTACATCGCCTCCTCCGTGCAAGATTTTTTTTTCACTGAAAGGAGAAAAAACGGCCAAATTCAAAGAAACGAAGCCCCAAAACCACCACAAGCAGGAACCTAGTTAATTCGTTAGTCGGCTGTTGGGAAGATGCGTTACCGCTAACATCGACGAGGAATGCGATCGGCTCATTCAACATTTTCACGTTAGCGCTATGAAAGCTCAGAGTTCGAAAGTCACCAAGAGGCCTTTGTTTCCAGAAACACTCAAGCCGATACGCCAGCGTGGAATTGTACGACCTGTAGGCAACCGCAAACTGAGGTCCGAACTTACAAAACAATGCAGGTAAAAGATCTTAAAAAGAGGAGAGCAGCAGTAATGATGGAAGCTGGAGAGGCTGAGAAAACCATTTGCAACGTCCAACGAAGCTTCGCCAGTTACAAGAGAAAGATGATTGCACTGGGACGTCCAACCGGAACAGTTACAGCGTCCAGAAAGGCAATGGAGAAAATCATTCACGAATACTACTCAGATCTCGTCGATAGCCATGGCCACCTTTCGTCATATAAAATAAAGGAGGACGGATATGTAGTAGCACTGGTTCTTCCTTCTCAAATCCGAAGTGCCATTTCATCGGCGAAAAATCCAACAGCACCAGGTCCGGAGAGCAGAAGACCAGAACACCTGAAGAACCTTCCGCTAGTCCTCGCAAACAAACTAGCTCGGCTCTTGACACGTTACCTGTCTGAATGCAAGGTCCCTACCCAGTGGAAGACCAGCAAGACCGTGTTATTGTTCAAGAAGGATGACCTCCACGATATCGGCAACTATAGTCCAATCTGCTTGCTGCCTGTCGACTACAAACTTTTCACTCGAGTCATCCTAAACAAGACTAACGGAACACTAGACGAAGGACAGCCATGTGAGCAAGCAGGGTTTCGAAAAGGATTTAGTATGATCAACCGCGTCCACGCTATAACAAAGCTCATTGAAATATCGCGAGAGTACAAAAGATCGCTCTGTCTCATTTTCACCGATTTACAGAAGGCCTTTGATTCAGTTGAGATAGAATCAGTCTTGGAAGTCCTTGATAGTTAATGAGTCCCTACTCACTATACAAAGATTCTTCGTGAGCTGTACAAAAATTTCACA